TGCAAGAGGCAGGTCACTTGGCACCAAGCCAACTACATCTGTATTTGCAGGTATCCATCACCTTAGCCACGTGCAGCCCATTCGGATCCTTCGTCTCTGGCACATTTAGTTACTGTCTACCCTTCCCCTAGGATTGACGAGCTGGCCACCTCCTTCATTCCTGACACAGACACCCAGAAATAATTATTTGGGAGATGCCTGTCCCAGGATTCGGAATTTTAAGGACTATGTACCTCAATTCCATAATACCCTATACAGATTGTGAATGCACTGTGGTAGGTTACCTGTGAAAACGTGTTTTAGAAAAGCAAAAGGATACCTGCACCCCTGTGTTCATTGCAGCAGCGTTTACAATAGCTAGGACGTGGAAACAACCTAAATGTCCAATGACAGATGAATGGATAAAGAAGATGTGGTACACATATACAATGGAATACTACTCAGCCATAAAAAGGAACGAAATAGTGTCATTTGTGGAGACGTGGATGGACCTAGAGACTGTTATACAGAGTGAAGTAACTCTGACAGAGAAAAACAAGTATTGTGTAATATCGCTTATATGTGGAATCTAGAAAAATGGTACAGATGAACTTATTTGCAAAGCAGAAACAGAGTCACAGATGTAGAGAGAGAACAAACTTATGGTTACTGAGGGGGAAAGGGGGGATGGGACGAGTTGGGAGATTGGGATTTGACATATATACACTACTATGTATAAAATAGATAACTAATGAGAACATACTGTAGAGCACGGGGAACTCTACTCAGTGCTCTGTGGTGACCTACATGGGAAGGAAATCCAAAAAACGGATTACCGTATATGTATACGTATAGCTGATACACTTTGCTGTACAGCAGAAACTAACACACCATTGTAAAGCAACTCTACTCCAATAAAATTTTTTTTAAAACTAAAGGAGCCGTCAATCAACAACAAAAAGTACTGTATTGCCTGTCACATAAGTACTCAATAAATAATTGCTATCGCTATTTTAAAAATTGAACAATCCAGCAGTAATATGTACATTTATAATCTTGGGCAACCATCACCACTGTCTAATTCCAGAACATTTTCATGACCCTAAAGGACACCCCATCCCAATTAGGAGTCATTCCCTATTCCTACCTTCCCCCCAGCCCCTGGCAACCATTCATCTGCCTTCGGTTTCTATAGGTTGAACTATTTATATAGGTGAAATCATACAATATGTGACCTTTTGTGTCTGACCGTTTCCCTTAGCATCATGTTTTCAGGGATTCTTCCATGTTAGAGCAGGTATCTGTTCTTCTTTCCTTTTACGGCTGAACAATATTCCATTGTGTGGATACAGCACAATTTGTTTCTCCATTAATCCATTGGTGAACATCTGTATTGTTTCCACCTTTTTTTTTCTTTTTTCTTTCTGGCATGTGTGTTTTTTTAATTTTTACTGGAGTATAGTTGATTTCCAATGTTGTGTTAGTTTCAGGTGTACAGCGAAGTGAATCAGTGATACGTATGCATATATCTATTCTTTTTTTAGATTGTTTTCCCATATAGGCCATTACAGATTATTGAGTACAGTTCCCTGGGCTATACAGTAGGTTCTTTTTAGTTGTCTGTTTTATCTATATATAGTGGGGCGTATATGTCAGTCCCAGTCCCCCAGTGTATCCCTCCCCCCGTTTTCTTCTACTGTGAATAGTACTTCTACGAATATTTGTGTACAAGAAGTTGCCTGAGCGCTCGCTACATACTGATCAGGTAGGTGAATAATATCAATTCATTAGAACGACATTTCCAACAGTGTGTTCATCAAAATATTACACTGGTAAGCTTTCTCCATTGTTAGACACTACTTTTCTTAAATTTAATTTGAAATATGTTCACGCTGTATCCTCTTCTTGGGGATTTTGTGTGTGTGTGTGTGTGGTACACGGGGCTCTCACTGATGTGGCCTCTCCCGTTGCGGAGCACAGGCTCCGGACACACAGGCTCAGCAGCCATGGCTCACGGGCCCAGCCGCTCCGCGGCATGTGGGATCTTCCCGGACCGGGGCACGAACCCGCGTCCCTTGCATCGGCAGGCGGACTCTCAACCACTGCGCCACCAGGGAAGCCCGCACGTTAGTTTTGGATTCATCTTGGGGCAAAACACTTTGAAATAAAAACGTTGATGAAAGAAAATGTGACCATGTGACCGTTGCATAAGAGAAAGCACAGCCCGTTTTGCCAGTATTCAGTGCAACAAGAAAAGAAGGAAACACGTCACTCCTTACAAACGATTGCAGGGCTACTTACGTGGAGCAAGTTTTGTTTCATGTAACCACAGAGGGAGAATTAAAACTAGCCCAGAAATAAATAAACAAACATGTATAATCCCAGAGAAGCATAACCACTGAGATAAAAAAAATGTTATAAAAGACCCTCATTACAAGTCAGAAAGAGAAAAACAAATACTGTATATTAATACGTATATGTGGAATCTAGAAAAATGGTACAGATGAACTTATTTGCAAAGCAGAAATAGAGACACAGACATAGAGAACAAATGTACGGATACCAAGGTGGGGAAGGGAGGGAGGTGGGATGAATTGGGAGATAGGGATTGACATATATACACTACTATGTATAAAATAGATAACTAATGAGAACCGACTGTAAAAAAAAAATGTTTTTTAATAAAAATTAAAAAGACCCTCGTTACAAATGGTAAGCATTACCCCCTGATTTTATAGCGTGTGTATTAACAAGGATTCCTTATTCTCATTGGCTGGCTTTATAAGAAAATATTAAGAATGCAACCAAACAAGACAGATAGGATGGGCCGTGCCAGTAGCTTGCGATGTCCTTCAGAGGATGTGACCACCGAACAGACAGACACCTGAGGTAGCCATTCTTCAAGGAAATACATAAGTCCTTGAGTCCAAATGGGAAAGAACTGGGGGGCCTGGATATCAAGCAGTACAGGAAGGTTTGCTTAACTGGAATGTGGTTTGGGTCATATGGAGTCCATGAATTAGTCCAAGGACCTTTCTAGAGTATTTAAAAAACACAATATATCCAGCAAGAGAGCAAGCCAAAAAGATCTAGGTAGAGTGGAATAAGCAATAGGTCTCTTCTGAAAACTGTGGGGTGAATAATGGGGCACCCAGACATTCCGTCTTGGTAGGCCCTTCTTAGATATTATGTGACACAAACGACAAGGGCTTTCTGCTCACGGAATTCATTCAGTAGCTTTTGGTGTTGAGACGTCTCAGACCAGCAATGGGGCTTCTTCCCGCCTTCCTCGTACACAAAAGCAACGCCAACCTCCCCTTGAACAAAGTTATCTTTTGGTAAATCCTATTCTCCTTGAGGCCGTGTTCAATTTCTTACCTAATTTGGAATCAGGAATATCCCCAACACCTCATTCTGCAGTTCTGGGGTTAAGCCTTCAACCTAGGGATTTTGAAGGGGCATGAGGAGCCCGTAACAATTTCTCATCACAAATGCAAGAACGTATGTACATACCATTGTGGGCGTTCGCTATGGCAGAAGTGGCCCAGTTGGAAAGAGAAGTGTGTAACTCAGTAACCAACAGATTTAAGTTTCTCTGTTTCTAGTCGCAGAAGAAGAAACGATAAGGAATCCAACCTCATGCATCTTCTAAAGGTCCACACATCGTCTCAAATCATCTCACCTCAGCTGTTGTGGCGCTAAGGTCTGCATCTGGAATTTATATGTTCCAGCTTTGCAGAAGATACTAACATGCTTTCAGTACCAGAACAATAAGATCTGGTCCAAAACGATATTCTCTTTGGAACCATCCTCCTGCCACCTACCTGAAGTTTTCAGTTTTGAAAATTTTGCTGAAAAGGTATCATACAGAGCCATCTTTCATAGAAATATTTCCATAATCTCCTTTTAATTTGCATAAAATCTAAACAGTCCTCCAGTGTCTGTACACGTGTCATGTTCTAAAGTATCTTATTTTTCGTTCGTATACTGTGTTTCTGAGAAACTTTCCCGTCTAATAAAATTGAGACACACACACAAAACACAAAGAATCAAAACCACTTAGTACACAAGGCATCCACTGATCACACAAAGAGCTTCGCCTGAAATGTCATGGTGGCACCTGTAGCTTTACTAACTGCCACGAGCAATCATGTCATTATTCCTGCAGAGAGTTGCACTTCAGACGCTAAAGACGTTCAGAAACACTTAAAATGTTAAATCTTCACGGTAATTTTCCAACGCACAAGTAAAAGGCACATGTGTGGGACATGTTCCCGCCGCCTCACGCTGGCCGCAGGTGGTTACAACCCTCTGAGTTCTTCCCAGTAAGCGGCTGAATCGTTCTCCATGTATCCCGACAAACCCCTTGAGCTTCTCGGTCATCTCAGATCTTTCCTGACCTTTCAATTGAGCATTTCCACACCTGGCTTCTTTTATTTTTACGTGGTCCACAGTCTAGGAAACCGGCATTCAAAAGTATATTGTAGACAGTCCCCCTACGTTCCATGGTAGAGCTAAGATGACTCCAATCCCTTCCCTGGGCCAGAGGGATGCTGCCTCGATCTGGTCTTGAATTGTCCTTTCGGGGGATAAAAAGAAATGTCCCGGAACCAAATCACCACGTTGATCCAGGGCAACCTGAAACTTGTGAGAAAACGAAACAAAAGACAATAAAACCACCACACAAAACACCGTATACCCACCATCGCCTGGACACCCATGCTTGTCCCTGGAGAACACAGTTCTCCAGTTCCTGGATGAGTATATATTATATACAGAGCTGAGTGGGTGCTCTGTGAACCAATAAAAAACTTGAACTCCAATTCCGATATATTCTGATTCTGTCTCTGACTAGATGTAGGCTCTAGGGAAAGGTTTTATTTTTATTTTTTAATTTTTATTGGGGTAGAGTTGATTTACAGTGTTGTGTTACTTTCAGGAATACAGCAAAGTGAGTCAGTTATACATACACACAGATCCACTCTTTTTCAGATTCTTTCCCCATATGGGTCATTACAGAGTATTGAGTAGAGTTCCCTGTGCTACACAGTAGGTCCTTATTAGTTATCTGTTTTATATATAGTAGTGTATATGTGTCAATCGCCATCTTCCAGTTTATCCCTCTACCCCTTACCCCCAGGTAACCGTAAATTTCTTTTATGGAAAATTTTTTCATCTCTTGATTAACCAATTCTCCTACCAGGTAGAAATAATGTCGGGACTTGTAGTACCATTAATAAGAGTACAGAACATTTATCACCACCCTGTCTTAGATGGTGTTTCTGCAACTATCATTACATTTTAGGGAGATCTCAGCCAGTTGAAATACAGGATAGAATTTTTAAATTGTAAAGGAGTTAAAGAGTGCAGGTGAACGGCTTGAATTAGCCAGCCCAATGCCTCCTCGTAATAATTGTTTAGGAAATCTGACGCCGGCCAGTCGAGGCTGACAGGAGCAATTAAGTAAATATTAAAGTCGAATTTACCTGGGGCTCAAAGGGGACAAGGGATCAAAGACACCACGCTAATCTCCATTCTTTTGAAGCCAGGCTCAAACAACCTTTTGAAGGAACAATAATTAAGTCTGAAAAGAGCACAGGACTGCTTTGTCTGCTGCAAAGACAAGGTTCCCCTTCCCACTGGGTGAGCAGGGTCACATTTCTGCACCTGGTGCACAGGTTCAAACAAGAAATAAAAAAGAAACCCGTCTCGCCGAGCCATGAGAAGAGGTCGTTCTTCAGATGGGAGGGGAACGAACGTCTGTCTTCTGTATCGTAGTTGGAATCAGTTTACAGAAATAGCATCCCAGTTTCCTGGGAAGCTCTGGAAGGGAGGAAAGAGAAAGGATGCAATTGTGTAGGTGGAGGTCAGATCTCTCTTTACGGGGCAAAGAGCACATCTAGTTACCTTGATCACATGCCACGGACTCAGCGCAGCACCTGTTGCCTTGAAAGTTCATAAACGTGCCTTGAGCAGACCTGGGGACACAGGGGTGGGCATGGACCGGAGGGAGAGGGCAGGATGCTCAGACATCAGACAGAGGGGTATAGAGAGGGAGCAAGGGGCCATTGACCACTGCACGCTGCTCCCAACATCTTACCTCTGGACACTCACCTGCAGTGGCAGCAGCTGCCTTGGGGCATCTACCCCCCAGGCTGAATCAGCCCCCACTAAGGAGTTGTGTGTCCGCAGCGCTAGCTGATAATGCACAGCTGTGTCAGGACCCGGCCCCCATCCTGCAATTAGCCGGGTATCAGGCAGTGGGTGAGGATGGAGGCTACCTGGGACGCTCACTCCTCTCCTACACACCTTGAGGATGCCCTTGCTGCTTCCTATGGCTACAGAAGACAGGTAATACACCAAGAGGACACCTTGCTCTGTCTCTGAGTTTCAGAACCAGGGAAACAGAACGGACTCTGCCTGACTCCCCAGCACTCCTTGTAAAAGTCCTAGCAAGGGGGACTTCCCTGGCTGTCCGGTGGTTGAGACTTCGCCGTCCAATGCCAGGGGGTGCGGGTTCGATCCCTGGTGGCGGAGCTAAGATCCCGGCCAAAAAAAAAACAGAACATAAAACAGAAGCAATATTGTAACAAATTCAATGGAGACGTTAAAAAAAAATGGTCCACATCAAAAAAAAAATTCTTAAAATAAAAAGTCATGCCAAGGACTACCCTGGCAGTTAAGTGGTTGAGACTCCATGCTTCCAGTGCAGAGGCCGCGGGTTTGATCCCTGGCCAGGGAACTAAAATCCCACATGCCTCGCACTGAGGCCAAAACTTTAAAAAAAAGTCATAGCGAGGCAAAAACACAGAGGCAACACAAATAAACAAATGTGTCAATAAATACGTGAAAAGACACACAGCCTTCTTTAATAATGAAAGGGAATTAAATCTAAGCCAGGATTTACCATTCTGGAAAAAAAAAAAAAAAAAAATTGAAAGAGACTAACGGGCTTTTGTGGCAAGGAGCTGGAGAAATGAGGAGTCTGATACCGTTGGCTTCATATGTTTTTAATGGAAATTTGGTGGTATCTGTTACAGGCTACCATGCCTAAGCTCTGACCCAGCAATGCAGCTTCTAAGACTCACTCTGCAAAATCAGGAGAGTGTGTGTTAGGTCATAACATATAGACAAGGTAAGGTGGTAACACGTATGATGCCTGACACACAGGGAAACCCAGTAAGTGTCTGTCCTTTTTTTCCCTTTTGCCCTTTTCTCTCAATCTCTGTGATTCTTATTTCATTAGGGTCAAGCTGAGGAGTATGACTTCCCCAGAGGGTCCATCAAATACTGCAGGGTCCAGGGAGGCCATGAACGCCTAGGGTACATAAATACCTCTTGTTCCGTTGTGGGATGTCTGGTTAACACTCATACCCATACGTGCAGAAAAGATGATCAAATACACAGCATCGGGCTTCCCTGGTGGCGCAGTGGTTGAGAATCTGCCTGCCAATGCAGGGGACACAGGTTCGCGCCCTGGTCTGGGAGGGTCCCACATGCCGCGGAGCAACTGGGCCCGTGAGCCACAACTACTGAGCCTGCGCGTCCGGAGCCTGTGCTCCGCAACGGGAGAGGCCACAACAGTGAGAGGACCGCGTACCGCAAAAAAAAAAAAATACACAGCATCGCATGGCACACGTTTGGTGTATCCACATCCTTCCCAAGTTCACGTATTCATCTTTCTTATTTATTTAATTCCTCTTCCTAGGCCCTACCCCCCAAATTACCTGCTTTGAAAAGAGGTCTGAGAATCATTGACTTTTTTATTTTTATTTTATTTCTTTGGCCGCAGCATGCGGCATGCGGGATCTTAGTTCCGGGACCAGGGATCGAACCTGTGCCCCCTACAGTGGAAGCGCAGAATCTTAACCACTGGACCTCCAGGGAAGTCCCTGAGATTCATTGGCTTTAAGATTTCCTCTCTTTAGAGCTATCCATTTCTCTGGGACTTTTATATATATTTTTTAATAAAGCAAATCTTATTTTTAATCAATAATTAAATAAAATAGAATTTTCATTTCATTTTGTAATTAAGCAAAGCTGCTATAGATATTAAGACTCGAGCCTCTATATTTGAAAGGTAGCCATTTTTTGGTACCATCCTTTGGAAAGGTACAATTAATTTATTTATCCAACTTTTTCACGGTTTGGAGACCTTGACACTGAAAGAAAGAATATTCCCTGATATTCATGCTTTCTCCATCCTGTAAAACAATAATGACTCACTGACCTTTCTAAGCAGCTACCTTTTGATTGCTCTAATATATTTGAAAGAGGCAGTTCTGTGGCAAACAACAGGCTCCCTGTAACAGCTGACCTCCAGGACGTTTTTTGAATGTCTTGGTCTCATGTTGGGAATAAATGAAACGTCCAGGCAGGCTGATGAAAAGGTCAGAAAAGTACATCATAGGGACTTCCCTGGCGGTCCAGTGGTTAGGACTCTGCACTTCCACTGCAGGGGGGCGTGGGTTCAATCCCTGGTTGGGGAACTAAGATCCCACACGCCATGTGGCAGGAAAAAAAAAAAAAAGAACAATCATGATAGGACAAAGGCCAAGGGTCTGTAGCCTTTCTTTGAGATATTTAATGAAATTTTGGTTTTGTTTTTAAATTATTTATTTTTGGCTGCGTTGGGTCTTCATTACAGTGCATGGGCTTCTCATTGCGGTGGCTTCTCTTGTTGCGGAGCACGGGCTCTAGGCGCGCGGGCTTCAGCAGTTGTGGTGCTCTGGCTCAGTAGTTGTGGCTCACAGGCTCAGTAGTTGTGGCACACAGGCTCAGTAGTTGTGGTGCAGGGGCTCAGTAGTTGTGGCTCGTGGGGTCTAGAGCGCAGGCTCAGTAGTTGTGGCGCATGGGCTTAGTGGCTCTGCGGCATGTGGGATCTTCCCAGACCAGGGCTCGAACCCATGCCCCCTGCACTGGCAGGTGGATTCTTAACCACTGCGCCCCCAGGGAAGCCTTCTCTGAGATCTTTAGAAGAACTTGACTTCATATTTATGCTTCCGAACTGCCCAACTTATTGTGGAGAATATTAACATGTCAGCCTGAAGTTGCTCCTTTCAGTAAACATGCGTCTTCTGCAGGAGTGCCAAGGTCTGGGGCTGGAAGCCCAGGGCCAGTCTACCAATGGGGCAGACAGCAATTGGGGACTGCAATTAGGCATGGCACTGGGGCAGATTCCTCCTTCAGATACTGTTATTCAGGGACACTGGTGATGTGATCATGAGGAAGTGGGTGCCTGGGAAATGGGAGGAGAAATTCACCCAGTCTCCATCCTGGAGACCAGACGCCTGAGGTCAAGGTGTCCCAGGGCCGCAGTCCCTCCAGAGGCTCCAGGGGAGGGTCCTTCCTGCCTCTTCCAGCTTCTGGAGGCTCCAGGCATCCCTGGGCTTGTGGCCGCATCCCTCCCGTCTCTGCCTCTGTCTTCCCGGGGCTTCTCCTCTGTGTCTGGGTCTCTCCTCTTCTGTCTCTTAGAAGGACCTGTCATTGGATTTAGTGTCACCCTCATCCAGGAGGACCTCATCTCAGACCCTTCACTTCATCTCATCTGCAAAGACCCTTTGTCCAAATCAGCTCCCTTTCCCAGGTTGCAGGATGTGAATCTCTCTGGGAGTGCCATCATTCAACGCACTCTGTGGACCAAGGGGACCTAGATTTCTAGAACTTTCTCTGTCTTTAACTTCCTCTGTGGTCTTGGGCTCACCACGCTATGCTTCATCTTCTCTAAAATATGAGGCTCAAACTAACCAACGTACACTGTTTTTTCCAGCTCCCAGATTTAGTTTATTTTCTGTCTTCCCATGACCTTCATAGTGTTTACGATTGGAGCGACCATCTAAAAAAATGGTCACTGAGAGTCATTTATTACAAATCTAACCAGGCGATGTTAGATGTCACAGCTATTCCGGTGGGAATGCATAGACATAGGACTGTTCATCCACACAAGTTCATCTAATTTAAAAGAGATGTCAGTTATTTCAAGGCAATAACTTTAGATTCCTGGAAAGATAAATTAATCCGTAATACAGGTAGAGCTTTGGGTCCACCTACGCGTTGACTTCTGCTGTGTGAAACCTCTGTCCCAGTTCATCCATCTGTATAATGGAGCCAACTCTCTTAGGTTCTTCATAGAATTCTCTAAGGAACAAGATGGAAGGTTCTTGGTAAAGCAAAGTATTGTCTACACGTATGTGTAACGTCTACACGTTTGCATTTGGGACGCTAATTTTATGCAGCCGCTAGAATGGCTGGGGCAGGGGCTCGGGGGTTCAGGTTGAACACGATTTCTGTGCGTGTCTGTGAGAGTGTCTCCCGATATGATTAGCGTTTGAGCTAACAGACTGAGTAAGCAGGTGGCCCTCCCTAACGTGGGTGGGCCTCGTCTAATCAGTTGAGGGCCCGAATCGAACCAAAAGCGGAGGTGGGGAGAATTCACCCATTGTTTTCTGTATCACTGTTGAGCTGAGACATCTTATCCCATCTTCTCCTGACCTCACGCTGGGATTTACACCTTCAGGTGCCCTAGTTCTCATGGCTTTGGATTCACATTGAATGATACCTGGCTTTCTTGGGTCTCCAGCTTATAGAGGGTAGACTGTGGAACTTCTCAGCCTCCAGAACTGCATAAGGCAATTCCTCATACTAAATCTCTCCCTCTCTCTCTCCCCACCCAACTCATGTATATATCCTTACTATTATAAAGAATGTCCTATAGTGTACTTTTCAATCCCACACTCATAACCCTTGCTATTATATGTATATACACATATATGTATACACTTACTATTACATTGTCCTATAGTATACTTTTCAATCAACACATCCCATACTCATAAACCTTATGTCCACAGCTATCCTACATTGGGGGCATTTACAGTTCCCCCTAAAATTCCTTTCTTTATGCTCAAGTCCACCCTAGCAGACACCTTCTCTAACAACTTGATGGTGGGCACCTTTGTGCTTCATTTTCCTCTGTGTGTCCTGCACGGCGTTCCCGTTTTAACTCTACCCTGTGCCGGGACATATTTTCTAGTCTTTCCCTCAGATCTCTGCTGCAAACCTCAGACCACATCAGCCTCTTCCTGCTTCGGATTCTTATAATACTTTTATCTGCACCATTAAATTGGCACGTAAATACATTTTGAGTTGCTCAGTAATGTAAGCAAGTCTTGTGTGTATCCTCTCCACGTTTTGAAGGGAAGAATCAAAATCTTGTTCTGTCAGAGTACTGAGGCTACAGTGAAACTCAATATGGAACTCGGAAACCTAACCCAATGGCAATTAGGTCTGAAAAATAATCAATAAAATGGCAAACCACCCTGATATTTCAAGTTTAACCCTCTGTCATTCTGTTTCATGCATGCTTTGTGACTCAATTGGAAATATTCCCATGGGAAATTAACTTAGCCTGTTTATTATGCAATTTCAGACTTGGAAAACCCACAGTTATATTTTTCATGCTATTAAATGTCTGTAATCAAAGTTCTGCCTGTTTACATAAATAAGCTATTCCTTACAATTACAAAAGGGTCTACTTCATTCTTCTATTACCATCCCTATTTCTTCCATGATAAATTATATTTTCAAAATTCTTACATCCCTCATCACATAGGCTCGATTATTTTTTTAAAGTTAGAGAGTAGAGCTTCCCAAATCTTATGCAATTAACCCAGAATCTAACAGAATATCCTACTGGAGATGGAAGCATAAAGGTTTTATTCAAATCACTAAGTGTTATTTTCTGTAACAACCTTTCAACTGGAAAGGAAACTAAAAATGTCCTATACAAACTCATCGTCCTGAAATTTAGATTCAACATCCAAGAAACTTTAAGGTGATTCATCCTCAAAGAAATGATATTCAAACATATTTTATTCATTCAACATCTGTTGAATCCTTAAAATGAGTGAGACATGAGATTCTTTTAAATTATGGGAAGCAGCTGAAAGGGTACCTGATAATCTCAGCTGTAGGGCTTAACTTCTCATTAGAATAGGTATTCAGAAATCAGAACAGATTTTTGGGTGGATCATAATTCCAGAATTATCATTTAAAATGAAGCAAAAATTACAGGTAGGATCATATAGAGAGAAGGAAAGGAGACAGGTAAAATTAGTTGTCAAAATCTAATAATATCTACCTTAAAAAGTGTGCTATACAGCCATAGATTTGAGAATAGTCTGGTAGATTGTTAGATATCTACTTGAGTGGAAAAATGATAAAGGATGGGCTATTTATATTAAATTAACTGAACTACAATGATGTGATATTCTTTTTTAAATTTATTTTATTGAAGCATAGTTGATTTGCAGTGTTGTGTTAATTTCTGCTGTACAGCAAAGTGATTCAGTTATACATACGTACACATTCTTTTTCATATTCTTTTCCATTATGGTTTATCACAGGATATTGAATATAGTTCCCTAAGCAGTAGGACCTTGTTGTTTATCCATCCGATATGTAATAGTTTATAGCTGCTAATCCCAAACTCCCAATCCATCCCTCCCCCAAATCCTTCCCCCTTGGCAACCACAAGTCTGTTCTCTATGTCTGTGAGTCTGTTTCTGTTTCATAAATAAGTTCATTTGTATCATTTTTTTTAATTCCACATATAAGTGATATATGATATTTGTCTTTCTCTGAGTTACTTTGTATGATCATCTCTAGGTCCATCCATGTTACTGCAAATGGCATTATTTCCTTCTTTTTTATGGCTGGGTATATGCCATTCTGTATATGTACCACATCTCCTTTAACCAAGCAATGTGCTTTTCTCATTCAGTTATACGTGATTATCTGGAAGATTTGCCATAAAATTGCTCCCTTGCCCCGTGGTTCAAGTTGCACTGAGGTATGTGGTTGAGTACCGATTGTGTTCTCAGGGAGACCTTATAATACGCTCTCCACACCAGATGCCTTAGGAGTGACAGGAAGGACGGTTCGTAGTTAACACAGAGCAGAGATTCATCTAGGACAGTTTGCAGCCCAGTCGTTGGTGACGCACTGGCTGGACAGGGTTGAAGAGTGAATGAGGCGGAAGGTACCTGCATCAGGGACCATGTGAGACCCGATGTAGACGTTTGAATCTGAAGGGGACCAGAGAATCACAAAGCCTTACTGCACCTTCATCACAAAGAGATGTTCAAGCCCAGGATGTGACTGTTTCCTTCCAGCTCAAAGCATCCAGGCTTAGGGCTGAACTTTGGAAAACTTCGGGGTCCGTGGGTTTCACCTAAAGCACTGAAGTCCTGTGTTTTCTTCATGTCTTATTGCAAGTATATATTTTTATGTTGTACACATGCTGCATATCTTGATTTCCGTTATTCAGTTATTTGGTTATCGAAGGAAATGTCCTTGTTATGCCGACGGTTATGAAATATTTAGGATTTTATTTAGAATATGAAGTATTTAGGAGTAAAGGAACATAACTCTTCAATGTACACGGTGGTTCAGAAGAAGAAATTGTGTGTATGCGTGTGTGTGTGTGTATGTATGTGTGTGTGTGTGTGTGTACATGCAAAGAGAGGAAGGGGGATTATAAAACAATTAGGACAAAATGTAGATAATTGCTAAATATGTATAGAAGCATATACGATTCCCCTATTCTGTTCTTGCAATTCTTATAATAAGTTTCAAAGTAAATGCAGATAAACAGTGATAAGCACAACAGAAAAACTCACAGACTACTTTGTACAAGCCAACAAATGTACATTTCAGAACATTTTATTTATTGGGAATGCCCATGTTGGTGGGATGACTTGACGTCTAGGAACAATTGTATACTCCAAAAATCTAAAATTCTCTGAGCATCATTGACCCAATAAGCCAACCAGTGCTTTAATATTTACCCCTAGTGGTGTCTTCACCTTTCAACTTTCAGGAAGAATTTTTAGAGAAGCACAGAGGTTTAAGTCTCAAGAATATTTAGGGTTAGGTGAACACAAACTCTGGCTCTTAAAAATTGGCCATACGCATCTGGGTAATTCAGAATTTTAAAAAGGGGACAGGCGTATGTCAAGAGCTCTATTAAACTGGCTGTTCACAATAAATGTTTTCTACTAAAGAGAGAAGTTCCATTATGTTTTTATCGCAACCATTTAAACAGAAATCATTTTAAATAGAAATGTCTAATTTCCCCAAGGTTCAGTTTTCTAATTTTTTTTTGTCCCCATGTGAAATAGCCTTCTGCTGCCTTTTTTCCCTCTTTCAGTTCTATGAGGAGAGCTACCTTTTTAATCCAGGTAGAGTTACAGTACCTACATAATGAGCTTTTAGCTTTTACCATACACCAAATAATACAGCCTGTGGCCAATTCCCTTTTTTCCAAATGGAGTTAATTTTTTTTAAAGCAGTCAGAAAGAATTTCCAGAGAAAATTTCAAAGAGCGCTTTAGGGCATTATAAAGTAAAATTCTGAAACCAGTTCCTACGTTCAGAAGAGACTAGGCATTTTTAATACAACAGATCTTGCTGTCTTGTTTCTTGCAATGTCCGGGTTGCCTTTGAAAAAAAAAAGAAAGAAAACGCTTTTGATATTGAAGTGTGTAAATTCCGGTAAAGGGAGTGCGCACGGCCCGATTTTTGCTGTTTAGAGACCACGATCTTGTACAGGGCTTCAGCCGCTAGAAAAAGTCAAGTGTTTTGCCCTTTCTCACCTATAAAGCTTTAGAAATTAGCCTTTCTGGTCATTTCCCAATATATCTGTCCAAGTTGTCACGGACAAGAAGTCCATCAGACTTTGAAATTTGACCCCGGGTCCTGGAATAACAGGACAAACCCAAGCATAATATTAATAACCAGACAGACGCTCCGTACGAGACGGAAAGTCTCCACACGTCTTTCCTTCTCAATGTCCTGGCATCACCTGGAGACAGAAGGTCTTTGAGGCGGACGTCTGGGCTCGGGCTTACTTTTTCTTTCTAATTCTCCAGGAACTCTTGTAGAAGAACCCCGTGGAGCCCACATATGTATTTTTTTCAACCTGGATGTAAAATTCAGGCAATTTGAATTGAGCAAATGTGAGGTACCGTTTATATACCCAGAACTATGGAAGGCGGGGGGGGGGGGTGGGGGGCGGTCCAAAAGTTAGAATCTGAGTCACGCGGGGATGGTGGCTCTGTGGCAGGTCTCCTTCAACCCCTGAAGCCAAGTACGGATGTGGGTTGTTACCTTGGAGCACCCGTGGAGGCTGTTCTGCGTATTAAAGATAAAACACGGTATCCTAAATGGGAACGTGCTGGATTCCTCAGCAGGGACAGATCCAGGGCCAAAATCCCACAATTAGGAAAGGGCTAAAAGCCACCACCAAGTCTAGGCAGTATTAGACCAGTAAGAGACACAGAACTCGTTTTTTTTTTTTTTTTTTTTCGGTCCGCGGGCCTCTCACTGTTGTGGCCTCTCCCGTTGCGGAGCACAGGCTCCGGACGCGCAGGCTCAGCGGCCATGGCTCACGGGCCCAGCCGCTCCGCGGCACGTGGGATCTTCCCGGACCGGGGAACGAACCCGTGTCCCCTGCATCGGCAGGCGGACTCTCAACCACTGCGCCACCACAGAAGCCCCGGCACTTGTTTTTAAGAGAGATGGAGTCAAAGATGCTTTTATTCCTTCCGAGGTATGGGAAGATCCAGAAACTCAGTATTTGCAGCGCCTCTAAGGACATGACATTGAATTCAGACTCATCAAGGTTAGCAGTAAAGAAGGAAACACCTGCAAAACCTGACTCGTAGTTTGGGAAGGTGAGAAAAAGGAAATTTCTAGGGTTCATTGAGCAAGAAACTACAAGCCAGATGAGAAGACATCATCTTTGTGAGGGAAAAGGTGTGGGAGAGACAGGACAGTCCCTTTACTAGAATTATATAGACAGTGAATACGACTCTCTTTTTATCTGGCTACGGAGACTGTCGGAATATTATTTTCTTGAGTTCTCAGCTTTTAAAAAAAATGGAAATTGAAGCTCCCTCAGAGGTATTAATATTCAACACTATGAAATACACACAACATGTGCTGTTTCTCTATTTGCAAAACCTGAATTAAAATTCCTTTTAATATTCTTGGAAGACTAATGAGAAACAGCGTGTAGGGTTTACTGAAAGGGAGGTTTTATGAAGTGCTTCAGAATTTCAGTCCCCATGGAAAATGGAGGCTTCGTACTAGATATTACTCCCTTTTTAATCTGGGGAATCATGCTATCTGCTAGGAAAAGACAAGGGAAAAGAAAGCGGCATCCGGTACCCTGCCGGGACCCCCGTGAGCATCCTCGTCTTAGCTCCCTTGGAATTACGGTAAATCCAACCTCCTGGGTCCTAGTCAAAAGGAGCTTTGGAGATTTCAGAGCCTGAAAGCCCAAGCTTCTGGAGAATTCGAGAGAGCGTGTAAAAGCCTCTTTACACGCCGTTTCACCAGTGATTTCATTTTGTGTTGGGGGTGGGAGCTGTTTTCCATGAGTCCTGCAAACGCCGATTTAAACTCGGAAGCATCCAGACTGTGTTGGTTGCGATCCTAGTGGTTTAACCCAGGGGAGCTGGTGTGAGGATCTGAGACCAACACAGGTTGATCGGACAGAGTGCTGAGGGGTGTGGGGGCAGCGAAGCCGTCCTTTCGAAGTGTGTGTTCTGGCCGTTATCCTAAGCTCATCATCTCTTGCCCCTTTGACTCTTCAACCCACTTCCAAAATCAGATTGCCCAGGAGTCCCGGCGGCCCTCCGTGCACCCCGCGCGAGGTCTCCGTGTTGGACCTTCTCCTCCAGGTGTGTTCATTGCTTCAACCTCCCTGGGGCTCAGAGCCCCTTCTAGAAAAGTCACCCGCTGCCAAGCATACCCCCCCCCCCCCAGCCAGCCCAAGAGCCCTTGCCAAGTCATGCGCCACCTTGTGGTGGTGAGAAGAGCAACAGCTAAGTGGGCAACCCTTTGCTACATGCTTTGTAACCTACTGCCTTGAAGCAGACCTGTCCCCAGCTCTGTACTCATCGCCCATCAACCTTGGAACACATCACTGTCTCTTAGAAATGCATCATCCCATCTGGCCTTTGTAACCCCAGACATGTGCTGTCGCGAGGCCCATGTGCAGAGAAGAATGAACACAGCAGACTGGACACGGCTCTCCTTAGCACGGCCAGCTTGCAAGGTTGGCTACTGACCAGTGTCTTCATCAGCTCGGGCTGCCTCTGTATTCCACTTGGGTGGGACGATGTATCAAAACAACTCTTCCTGAGAAGGCAGATGTGATTACTGACGTGAGGGACACTTGCTTCCCACTGTGAAAGGAGCATCTTCACAGGCTGTAGATGCATAGAGAGATGATGGATAGATGTAGATGGATGGATAGATAGATAGATAGATAGGTGATGGATGGATAAGTAGATAGGTGATGGATGGATGGATAGATAGATATAGATGATAGGCAGGCAGACAGACAGATGATAGATACAGATGATAGGTGATGGATGGATGGATAGATAGATGGTAGATAGATAGATAGATAGGTGAAGGATGGATAAGTAGATAGGTGATGGACGGATGGATAGATAGATATAGATGA